CATTAAATAAAAGGAGTTACATCGGTACAGTGAGGTCCACCACGCATGGACCTCTACTGTGTCATGGTCCCTGAGTGGAGGGCTAGACACAACCACTGAGAGAGGCTTATAAATATGCCCAGTTACAAAAGTGGACAAGAAAGCATAGAATCCCAGTTACAAAAGCGTACAAAAGGAAAGCATAGTATGGCTTATAGTATTGGCCCTTTACACAGACTACTACGAAACAGACAAAAGAGACTACGTGGGGGCTTATAGTTTTGCCCTTTCACCTAGACTAACTGCATCCAGTTAGGTATGTTGCTTGCGGTTGCTTTTGCTGTCCTTCAGGTGTGCTTCCAAGTGACTTCCAAGTCCCTGCAGAAGTGTTCAATTTCATCAAAAATATGTCTCAAATACCAAGGTGGATTGCTTATCCTAGAACCCCAGTTAATAATGTTTTTGCCATCTCCTTCAATCTGTAGTATTCTTCCCCAAGAATGGTTAAAATTCTTGATTCCAATTAGAAGGGCTTTGGCTTCTGCTGTCTCCGAGTCCTTTATTCCTATGTATTCTAAATAGGTGAGAAGGACTCATCCTTCACTATTTCTATACACCCACCCTACACCTGTCGGACCAGGGTTTCCCAGAGAGCTTCCATCGAAGTTGAGTTTTATTTGATCCTCTGAAGGAGGAGTCCATCGAGGGGTACTTTGACTCCTACGATGACTGAGGTTAAGGAGATTTTCCCATTCTCGCATAAAGGAAGAGGCGGAGATACCCACAAATAATTTATGATGGGAGGCCCAAAAAATAGCAGAGGATGTTATTTTTTGGAACGTGGTCTGCAATGTAGAAACCTCAAAAGATCCTAGAGTTTCTTTCCCCCCCATATGTGCCAAAGGGTAGCAGCAACAGAGGCTTTCCATAGAATTTTCCCTGATTTCCTGAAACTGTCCTCATAGGTCTGTGTTGAAGGTGGAAGAACCCACGAGAGTCTAAATAACTGAATAAGTAGACTCCAAAGTGAGTATGCGAAGTCGCAATGTAATAACAGATGTGATATTGTTTCTTCTTCATTAAGGCACATTATACATCTGTTAGGAAATTGAAATCCTCTTTTCTGAAGGTTGTTTATGGTTAGGGGCCTACCTTGAGTTGCAAACCACTGAAAGAGCTGAGTCCTTGGTGGGGCTATAGTCTGCCACGCTCTATTTGATGAGTCGACTATGTCTGTCCATCTACCAAGACCCTATAGAAGGAGGCTACTGTGAACCTCCCTGAGGGTGATGGGGTCCATCCCTGACTGCGGTAAGAAAACTCCATGGAGTTCAGAGCTAAAGTGTAGCAAGTTGAAGGAGTTCTTCATCAGACAGAGACCTTCTAAAAGAAGGGTTCCACGTCCTACTATTCCCAGAGAAAGTCATTTCATCCACTATCATTGACTCTTTACAGTTGGAGATGACAAAAAGGAAGGGGAGTCTATCTTTTAGTGGTGAAAAGCCAATCTTCAAATCCTCCCAAAATCTCACTCTATTTCCTCCTCTTGCATGAAAGTGAATATTAGTTCTGAACCAAGGGAGGATGGATACCAGAGTTTTCCAGATACCTGATCCTGTGGAGTAGTAGTTGGTCTTTGGCAACCACATTTGTGAGGAGATATTATACTTGCTTCTAATCACCTGCATTCAAAGTGGGTTCTCATGATTTGACCACCATTTCCCCAAAATTGCCAATTCCGGTTTCTTAGGTCTCTTATCCCCAAACCTCCTACTTCTTGTGTGTGCAGATCTTGTTCCAAGATACTAGGTGTATTTTCTTTGTTTCTGCTGAACCCGACCATAGGAAATTCCTCATAAGCCGTTCTATCCTTTTAGAGACTGAAGCTGGAATTTGAAAGAGCGACATGAAGTAAATCTGGGTATGGGCAAGGGAAGCTTTGATGAGAGTACTTCAGCCAGCCATAGACAATATCGCCCTTTCCAACTTGCCAGTCTTCTATCTATTTTATCAATGATGTAGGCCCACAGCTGCTTATTGGGTTTTCCAAGGCCGAGGAGATCCCCAAACCTCCCTTCTTGTTGTGTGTGCAGATCTGGTTCCAAGATACTAGGTGTATTTTCTTTGTTTCTGCTGAACCCGACCATAGGAAATTCCTCATAAGCTGTTCTATCCTTTTAGAGACTGAAGCTGGAATTTGAAAGAGCGACATGAAGTAAATCGGGTATTGGCAAGGGAAGCTTTGATGAGAGTACTTCTGCCAGCCATGGACAGATATCGTCTTTTCCATCTTGCCAGTCTTCTATCTATTTTATCAATGATGTGGGCCCACAGCTGCTTATTGGGTTTTCCAAGGCCGAGGGGGAGCCCTAGGTAGAAGGTTAGGATTTCTCTACTGCACACTCCCAATCCGGGATAAAGTTCTTGGTTAGGGAAGGATTTAGACCAACTCCAATCATTTTAGATTTCTCCATATTGACCTTAAAACCGGTGGCCAACTCAAAGAAAGCAAGGAAGATTTTTAGGTTCTGGACTTCGATCTTGTTTGCATCAAGGAATACTAAGGTGTCATCTGCATATTGCAAGTGTCACACGCTTGGGCCCGTTCTACTTGTTTTGAATCCAGAAAGTAAGACAGCCTGAAAGATCTTGGAGATTGATTGGCTGAAGACCTCTCCCACTATGGTGAAAAGGAACGGGATAGGGGGTCTCCTTGTCTTAGACCCCTAGACGAAGGGAAGAAGCCCTTAGGAGAACTGTTAACTAAGATGGAGAAATAAGGACTAGAGTGGCAACCTCGCATCCACATTCTCCATCTCTCGCCGAATCCCATTCTGGATAGCGTTTGTTCTAGGATTGTCGATTCAACGTGGTCATACGCGTTCTCCCAGTCAATTTTGAAGATAAGCCCTGGCTTTTTTTGTCTAAAGCAAGAGTGAATACATTCATAGGCTACTAGGATTCCATCCAGGAAGAGTGAATATACGCTGACTGGGATGGGGATATGACCAAATTGAGGACCTTTTTGATCCTCGAAGCCAGGACTTTGGAAAGGATCTTGTATGATGAATTAAGGAGGTCGATATGACAAAAGTCTTTAATATCCTATGCTCCTTCTAACTTTGGCACCATCACTATAAAGTTGCATTCAAGGCTTTATTGAGTTTTCCACGTCTATAGAATTCCTCAAAAAACATATTGAAATCTTCCTTAAAGGTGGTCCAGAATGTTTTGAAGAATGCCATGTGGAAACCTTCTAGACCAGGCGCCTTGTCAGAGGCCAAGTCATTCACAACTTTCTCAATTTCTTCCTCAGAAAAAGGTCGTTCTAGCCAGTCTGCCTATGGGTGGGGAGGGTTTTGAACGCTAGGTCGCCCATGGTGGGTCTAGGTAGGTTTTGAGCTGAGCAAAGGTTCCTGAAGTGGGAAATGATGGCTTCTTCAATTTCTGGTGCAGAATCAAACAACGATTCGCCAACTTTGATGGTCTAAATCAAGTTAGCTCGGCGTCTGCTATTTGCAACTCTATGGAAGAGCTTGGTATTTAGGTCCTCCCCAGTGATTCAAACAGCGGACCGCCCAGCGTCTAGGCAGTCCGAAAGGCCTGCTCCCCCCCCAGGGGCGGAAAAAAAATTTGTGAGGGCATTTTACGTCATTGGTTTTTGTTTTTAAGGCTTAGAAATTAGGGTTTTAGGTTCATTTGAAACCTAAACTTTGTTTGAGCCAAATTTAGAGAGAAAACCACCAAAAAACTGGATTGTGGTGAATTTTTTAAGATCGAATGGTTACTCAAAGTTAACCAAAATTGATCAAAATATCACCCATTGGTATTATATTTACTTTTTGATGTTTTGCCAAGTTATTAGGAGGTGTTTTAGAAGATTTTGAGTATTTAG